GGTAGCTCGCCTCTCTTCTGCGCTCTGCCGCATTTCTTCCAACTCTGCATTCCGGTCCACCATGACATCTTCATGTACAGGCCTTGCCACTCTAGGCAACGGTTCATGTTCCGTGACTCGAGACACTTTCTGGCGAGGTTCATCCTGGAAGATCTCACTGTCTTTGAGTTCCATAGTTCCTGCCGCTGGGACGAGAGATCCTTCTTCCGCTCGTTCTCCCATCCTTGGGGATACAATTGATCCCATACACAATCCGAAATTTCCTCTTCGAGGGTAAACGGCTGAGGTCGAATAACAAGGTGAGACATGTTCATCCACAAGCAACTTGTTTCCTGAATGCTTCCTTGGCTCAGCGTGATACTCATACAGAATCCAAACACAAATAGCAAGAGGTCCTGGTACATCTTCTCCATGATCACCTTCATGGCGAATTCCAAGATTTACTGTCCAGTTTCCAGGTATCCTCGTGTACTTCTTCCGGTTCCAATCCGGTTTCCTTCGGCCCACAGGTTTCCTGGATCTTCAGGCTTCCTTGCTCCGCTACCAAGTTAAACTGTAAAACCCCGAGCGGTCACGCTTTTACTCTTGAACCAAAGGCGCTGCGTCGGTCACATAGTATACAGCTATACAATACTATACCGTAGCCTGGGCTCACCAAAGGTGTGGGGCGTTCCTATGTACAGAATTCAACATTCCAAGATGGAGGCGAAATCGAAATGGAAGGCGAGGCATTCCAAAGCGCCTTTAATGAAATCCGACGCCGTCGTGAGAGGCTCCATCGGGCCGGCAAAGCAGCCGGTGGAAGCCAGCGACTCAAAAAGTCCGCCTCAGTGTTCTTTGGGCCTGCAATGTGATGTACATCCAAGTGGATGCCAGTAAAACTGCTTAAAATAGCCAGTCCCTGCACAAATGCAGCGAGAGGCCAGGATGTAGTGAAAAGCTTGTTGGCAGTGGCTTCAGCTCCACTGTTATCACACCAGGAATGCATGCGAACAGACAGTTTGCATCCTGGGCTTAATGCACTCAAAAGCCAAACTAATGCAATCTGACCGAGGCACTCGTAACATGTAATGTCCTTGTGCGCTTCGGATTTCAATGGAAGCTCCGCAAATGCAAAATCCTCCACAGTAAAGCATTCTGAAAACCAAAATTCACCACCTGGTAAAGCAATGTAGCCGCCTATAGCGAAAGTGCGGCCGTTGCCCATGGCATCAGCTGCTGCCTCCACCTGTAAATGCTCCATAGGGCGAAGAGATCGCCAAATTGGAGGTAATGCAGACCAAGCAAGCCAGAAATGCAACAGACTTCTGGAGGATGGACTCAATGCACGACGCTTGGAGGCAGAGTCCGCAATGCGAAGCCAGATATCCTTATCCCCAAGGTTGCAATGTAAAAATTCGCACTTTGTGGCAACCTTGTGATGCCTCACCGCCAGAACACGGCTACCAACCGTAACCGCAGCCCCAGGAGGCAGCTTGACCAAATGTAAAGTATCGTTCAAGCAAGAAATGAACGATTGCCAGTCGTTCTGTCGAACGCTGAAGTTGGTTGCACGTGGAGTGTTGAGGTCCTGATAAAGAGACCTCAGCCACGGCCTGGCAAGCGGGAAAAGCTTGAAAAGCCATTGGAGCATGCCACAAAGTTTGCTCAATGTATTCCGATCAGTGTACTTGCCCCGAAGAGCTTCAGTAATAACAGAATGCAAGCGAAGAAGCTTGTCAGATGGGATGCAAACACAGCCCATGCTGAAATTAAGCTCCCATCCTATCCGTCGAATGGAGCATCCAAACTGTAATTTCTTCCATGATAAGGGGATGGAAAAGGCCCCACAGAAACATAGAGTAATGCAAAAGCTCATCTCTGCAACTGATGCAGACTGAAAACCAAGTAAGTCGTCCACATACATTGCCAGGAAGTGGGCAATGAAGATTAGGCGATGAAGTGTGCGAACGAAAAACGCACCAAGGCGAGCAAACCAGAAGGCAGAAAAAGCTGCACCGAATGGACAAACTGTATAGAAATAGAGCTTGGGACCCACTCGAATGCCAAGTAGACCCTGTTCAGACTCGCGCACCATAATGGATTTGTGTGCTGCCTGAACGTCAATGGACCAAGCTGCCAGAGGTTCGAGCTTCCCCCGCAATGGCCAAGATGCTTGGATAGTTTGCAATGTAGGCAATGCAGAGCGCTCCGGAATAAGGCAGCAGGCATTGGTACCACAAATGGAAGAATCAACCACCAAGCGAGGTTTTCTCCCTTCAGAGTGTACAATATTCAGTTTACCAACCGCAACATTGGGCCAGATCTGGCGTGCAGCTTCCAAAGACTCAATGCACCGCAACCAGCCTTTGTCCACCTCGATCTGCACCAGCTCTTCAAGGAGGACTGGGTCGTCTTCAGCCCCCTGCCAGTTTTCCTGGCAAACCATTAATGCATCATCTGAGGCTGAGCGACCTGATGGAGCGAATACCCCTGAAATGGGGATATCGTGTTTGAAGCCAGTGGGAACTCCACTGAGCAATGCACTGAAAAGAGTCATATCCGCGTCTTTAAGAACTGAGGACAAAGCAGCCAGAGAATGCAAGCAGTATGGCTGGCCATCCTTCACCTGCCAATCAATGGAGTTGCAACCCTGAGACTCCAGCCACGTGCTGAAAAGGCCTCGGATTTCCCGCACCTCAGTTTCCGAGAAGAGATGGGAATCTGATGGATTTGACAGTCTGTGACGTACTCTGGACGGAATGCATGCCTTGCCACACCAAGCAATTAAGGCATGGCGGAGCGATTTGAAAAGATCATCAGTAGAACGATCGTGGCCACTCCAGTCGGGACGGCTGTGAAGGCCACCACCATCCACCCAAGCATGTGGCGGAGAGTCAGTCGGTTTTTCTGGAATGCAAGACCAAGCCTCATCAATGGAAAAATCGCATTGACCAGAACATTTGCGAAGATTGGATATCAGCAGTATATCACACAAGGCATCCACGAATGCAGGTGGGTAGTCCGAAATCCTGGAACTGGAACGGCACCGCGAACATGAGCAGGCATGCCCCAAAGCGGAAAAAGAGGGTGAGGAAGAAACCATAATCCACGGGCTGCCACCCACACCTTTGAATGCACAAGCGGGCACCTGCACAATGTGCTGTAGACCTGTAGAAATGCAATGGAGGAAAAGTTGATCCGACCAGCATTGGGTCCACCCCGAAATATCAAAATGCACCGCAGAACCTGCCGAATATGCAACTTTGCAGAGTTGCAGCACCCAGCGAGTGTGACTCTCGCTCCATTCAGGCGAGTACACAATGAAAATGGAGGGAAAGACGCCTTCACCAGCACATCGAAAAATGCTATTTCTGGTATGCTCCTGATCAAGAGACTGAATGCACACATGAGGAACACCAGCAGTTGAAAGGCCGGCACGTAGGACCTCAGAGTGCTGTGAAGCCAGCAAAAGGCAGAATTTCTTCGGCAGAGCGGGCTGAGGCAGTTCGACTGCCTGAGGTTGAGGCATCCGACGAGGTAATGACTCACCAGGTAGAGGAAAACCCCACATGCGCAATGCATCGACATCCGATGACTGAAATTCAGACAAACGCTTGCAAGTGTAGGCCGTGATGACCCACCTGTCGCCCACGAAGGGCTCAGTGGCGTGCCAAAGTCCGCCATCAAATGCAAGAGGCGATGACCTGGTATCAACCAAAGAGAAATTTATGCACTTCTGCAAAGCTTCGACTCGCATGGATTTATCGCCCGATGAAGACTCCAGCAGTAAACCTCCTCCAGAAAAATCACCCAGAGCAACCGTGTAGTTGAGGGTGCCTGGCTCGTTGGATGTATCACGATGGACCTTTAGCACTTCGTTGTGAGAGATACATAACGAAGTCCAGGTCCCCAATGGAAAGACCATACATAGCCAAGCATTAAGTCGGCACAAAATGTGCTGGTATTGGAATGTATGATGTGTCAATCCAAAACGCACCGACTGAGAGAAACCACCGAGGTTAAAGTAGGCGGCATCTGCACGGTCCCCCTCAATAGCCTGCCATCTGTACTTCACAGTGGTTGATGTAAAGGACTGGAGATTACCAACATAACTACCCGCCCACAAGTTCCCGCCCAAGTGCAATAGAATATTGCAATAAAAAGGATTATAAAAATCTGAGTTGGAAAACTCTGACATGAGACTGTTCGCACTGACAAGAAGCGAGCAACATGACTGAATGCAATGCGCGAGCTCCACATGTTTTCACGCTGCCGTGCAACGATTGTCGAAAGAGTGCACGAAAGAGGAAGGGAGGAGAGAAGCATAGTCGATGCAATGCTCCGTCACACACGTGTTGTGCCAACTGCACCCCACGTCTGTAAAAGAACTCTCCCCCTCCAAACAGGGCTGGGCGGGTGGGTACACAAATGAGTCCCCCCCTCCCCTTTTGGACTCCGCAGAGCCGAGCCCAAAGGTTCGGACGAATGTTGATTGTCATCTGTTCCTCCAGCAGGAGGGAACAACAACCGCACATGAAAAATTCATGTAAAACAAAACACTGTGTGACATGAAAATCAATCCATAAAAGAGTCGAAACTCGACTCAACAAATGGAAAGCATTTTCGATATTGGCACATGAAAATGTGAGCAAGTTATGTTTCTTAATCTCATTCTGATGGACAAGTCCACCTCACGAGATTACCAACATAACTACCCGCCCACAAGTTCCCGCCCAAGTGCAATAGAATATTGCAATAAAAAGGATTATAAAAATCTGAGTTGGAAAACTCTGACATGAGACTGTTCGCACTGACAAGAAGCGAGCAACATGACTGAATGCAATGCGCGAGCTCCACATGTTTTCACGCTGCCGTGCAACGATTGTCGAAAGAGTGCACGAAAGAGGAAGGGAGGAGAGAAGCATAGTCGATGCAATGCTCCGTCACACACGTGTTGTGCCAACTGCACCCCACGTCTGTAAAAGAACTCTCCCCTCTCAACGAGTGACAGTGGCACATCACTTCCAGGGATCCTTCTCGCGCAACCGTTCAGCCTTCTTAAGCTTGGCAGCGGCTTTGGATACCCGCTTCTCTTTCCACTCAGCAATCTCACCGTACATCGCAGAGCCCGCTTGCAAAAGAGGCCTGAGAACCAGACCTTGGTATCCGGCAAATGAAAATCGTAACCTCAGCTTTGGATCGAACTGCTTGAAATCTCCGTTAGTCAGAGAGTCGGCCAGCATGTTCTGAAGGCGTGGTGCCCACGTAAGCTCGAGCATGCACGACTTCTCAAGGAGCACAGCAGTTAATTCCATCAATACTGCCACCAATGGAAATGAAGTTGTGAGCCAACGCGAGACAATGTGCGAATTGCCCTTATTGTCTGTCCCCGCTGAACAGACTGTACTGTCCGCGAAGGGCCCGCTCCCGTAGGAGCGAAGAGCAACACCGCCACCATGGTGGCCAGAAGTTCGAGGGATGCTATGGAACGGTAAGACTCCCCCGCCATAAAGAAGAGAGGAGCATCTTCAGGTTTGATCCGCTCGGCAAACCATCGGCACCGACGCGGATCGTCGGAGTCTGCACATGACCACCCTCCAATATGCATCTCTGGCCCCTCTGCTCTAGCATCCGTCCTGAAGAGCTCCGGAGCCGACTCAGACGAATGTTGAGCAACCCTCGTGACCCTAAGACCTTTTAGCAGCAGCGCCTCCACGAAAACCAGAACCAAGTCGACGGCCTTGGGGAGCCGCAAAGTGTGGCACTGAGACACTGCACTGGTCCAAGCGTACAGCGGCCCCAGGAAGGGTCTCAGCATCGGAAGGACCGTGAAAGCGAATGAGAGGCGGCCCAACACGGATTGCATGTCGGCCACTCGCACCATGCCGTCGGCCCTGGTCTTACGGATCCAGCCGACGATCCAATCAGTCCTTGACTGGCTGATGCCAATCGTCCTCCCGAAAGCGAACACCGAGAATCCGATCCAGCCATGCTCAAGTCCCCCGGCGAACTTATGCCAGGCAAATGGTGTCCCCAGTACCTGAAGCAATAAGATGGTCGCCAGGATCTTGATCAGCCCGTCTCCGGACTGGGTAAGCCATATGAGGTCGTCCACATAGCTCAGGAGAACCGTCGGGTCGCCTTGTAGACAATAGTACAGAAGTCTGCCCAGTCCCGACATGAGTCTGTACCACCAGTAGGAAGCTGAAGCGATGCCGAACGTCCCCACGCAGTTGTAGTATACTTTCTTTGGGTTTGACCCGCGACAAGCTTGTCGGGGCCAGTCCCGCTCCTGCACAAGGTAAAGACGATGAGCTCTGCTGATGTCACCGCTCAGGGAAAAGTAAGCATGTGGCAAGATTTCCACGGCAGTTTGAAGATCAGCGCCCGTAGGATATCGTTGGGCATCCCGGACACGGATGCAATCGTTGACATGCTGCCCATTGCTGCCGTCATGCACGATCCTCAGAGAGCCGTCTGGCTTGGGCACCGCCCCAAGCGATGCGACAGACAGGGAATCACCATGTTTCGCCCGGGCCTCCTCCAAGTCGAGCGCGATCATCGCCCCCAGGCTCATCTCCTTGGCGAGCTGCTCGTCAAGCTGGACGGGGTTGTCTCGCGCCCCGGGATAGTTTTCTCGAAGGCCGTCTTCAAGCGGAGTGTCAGCATCGGGGTACTTCCTGTGCTTGCACTTCCGCTCGAAAAGTGCAGGCGTCCGAGGTAGACGCTCCCCTACCCCGATCGGAACCCCTTTTGCGAAGGACACGGATGAAGAAGCATATTGTCTCCAGTCCGGGTCTCCAGCTGCCCTCAAGAGCTCCCCAATGGCCTCGAGGTAGAAAGGCTGTCGGGGAGTCACATGTTCGAGCTCCTTCGTGGAGCCCCAGTTCCTCAGCCGCTGGAAAACAAGCGAGCGCATCTCCACCACCATCGAATCAGGGAAAGGCGAAGACGTGGCCCTCCCCGTTGCCAAGCGACAAATTTCTTTCCTCACGTCGATGTGTTTCTGGAGCATGCGCAGAGCGTCCTCGAAAATCTGCCCGTGTAAAGAAATGTCCGGATGCGTGACACTCGTTGGCCTGTCCTTTGGCAGCCAACGGCCAGGAGATGCTAAGCCATGTCCATCAGAGAAATCGATCCGCTTTCCCACGAGAGTGGCCTTCAGAGGAGGTCCAAAGCCGAGTATGCCTTCACCTAGCTTTGCCTTGGGAACGCCATCGACATCCTCTTCAGAAGTTGAGCCACCCTCCTCCTCGTCGTCCTGGCTGTCGGGTTTAGGCCTCCACCACTCATCGTCCTTCGGCACGGCATCATCGTTGTTGTCCTCCAGGATGCGCTTCACCGCGCGTGGCAAGGATGCAACCCCCGGCTGGGGTGGCAAGTTGAACCCCAGCTCCTCCAGAAACCTCCAGTCGGCCGAAGGAAAGGAGGGATTCACCCGAGGGGTGTATGCCACGAGTACTGTTCTAGTTCCTTCCCAAGCCTGCGTGCAGTGCCAAGCGGTGGGATCGAAGCAAGCATGACAGCCATCATCTAACTCGAGAGTATGTCCCAAGCCTAATGAGGGATTCGAAGGGCACGGTTCTTGACCTCCGCCATCCTGAGTCCAGATGCCCCCGCCCCGAAAGGACGTGAGCCCTGCCACGAGATTTCTCGATCCTCGCTCATTGCCTGTATCTCGATGCGGGGCCGTCTGAAGGTTGCGAAAAATCGCAATGGCAGAGAATGTAAAGCTCGCGTCCAAACCCCGAACGAACCTACACAAAACCCTAACCACCCCGGGAAACAACCTGGAGTTCCTACGAAGGCCGGCAAGGCTACCGCCCACGGCATAAGCCCCGACAGCAAAAGATTTCGAATCCTTCCAAGTGACACCATCTCGGGCCAATTCTTCGCCGGGAAGCAAGTCGAAGATCTGAAGCAAAGACTCCTTCGAGACCGCCGAGTGTTGCAAGCGCCCTGCCAGAGCTTCAGCCTGATGGACCACCGCTGTCGAAGTCGCATTCTCAAGAGTGTCTGAAGAACGAGCTTGCTCCTCCCCCAACACCGATTCGGAGGACACTCTTTGCCTGAAGGTGAGAACCGCAATACTGGCCAGCGCCTCACAGAAGCCCGAAGGGTAAGCAGCCGGCCCGGCGAGAAATTGACCATTTTCGTCGGTGCCGATGAGAGGGGCATGTGCATGACCGCATTTGCGAGACAACGGCCCTCGATAGTGCTGCTGAGGGTCGAGTCGCGGCCAACCGGATACACCAACCGATCGTAGACCGTGCCAGGTTCCAGCTAATCGCGTCGGCCGCCTCTGAGCGGCGCCGAAGGCACAAAGATGAAGGGCCACCGAAGTGGCGCGAGTCTCCTGGAAAACACGAACAGCTTCTTCCCAAGTCCAGATCGAAGCCGGGGTGCCAGCCGCTGTAGCACCCAAAAATTCCGGATGCTCGATCAACCAGGGTACATGCTCCTTGGTGGCCAGGGTGGCTAAGGACAATACCCGGCGCACCAAACTCGTTCCAGCTTCTGCCTTGGATTTCCATACACCGGATAGCCAGGGAAAACCTTCCGGCCAGTCCGAGTTCCGCAGAGGCGGCGGTCCTGTGCGATTGACGAACGTGGCCCGGTTGAATGTAGAATATGGCGGGCTCATGAAAAGAAGATTGAATTCATGTCGTCGAACTTGATTGAGCAATCTCAACCAAAAAGAATCTGAAAGAACATCCGGAGCCGATTCCCCGATATCAACTTCTTGATAGCGGAATGACAGCCCGGCTTTCTCGCAGGCAGCCGCCAGGAATGATTTCAAGTCAGCCCGGCGAGACTCTCCCGCGAAGAGATAGAGAAAAGAAATGTCCGATTGTGGAGGAGAATCGAGTCCTTGAGAGACGTTCTCCTCGGTGTCGCCGCCGTCCGAGAGTCAGTTAGATGCTGTAGCCGCCTCCGGACGACGAACTTGCGTGCAAGCATGATAAGGGTGTTTGCCGAGACAACGTTGACATACATGAAGGAAGCGACAGGCGCTGTTCTTGCACCCTTCTTTCCGATTGAACTTCCAACAAATTGGTTTGCCATCTGGAGTCTTCATGAGCTTGGCAGCCTTCTTGCCAGGGGCCTCCTCGGCTGCTGCAGCAGCCAGTGCACGTTTCAGGGCTTTGCCTTTGCCCTTTCCCTTGGACTCGCGCTTCCAGTCTGCCGGAACAGACGGGGGAGGCGGCACGGCCCGAAGCGAGAAAGGGATGACAAGATGTCGATTGAGAAGCTCCATATCATGCATGGGCTTTGTAAAGGCTTCCTCGATAGTGCCCACCTCGCCGTCCCTGATCCAGCGATAGAGTGTTTTGCGAGCTTCGAGCTCGAAGCTTAAGACGAGCTCCCAAGTTGGAGTGTGCCCGTCACCAGCCACCAATCCAGCAACTTGTGAGCCCAACACATAATCACTGAACCTCCGCAGGACATCTGTGGAGTTTCTAGACAGCCAGGGCCTGAGAGCATGCTTGGTAGCCAAGAAGTCCCAAGCTAGCCCGATGCGTCTGTGGCGCAACCGCAGCTCCTCAGGATTGTTGGGCATGCCAGTAAGGGTCTTCCCAGGCTTTATTTTGAGCACGTTGGTAGTAGGATCGATCACCGCCGAGTACGCCTCAAGTTCCGAATCCTCGAGAGACGCCACTTCGGTAAGCAGCTCGGCTACCGGCTGATTGTTCTCGATCTGCTTTAGCTTGGCCGCTAGCAAGGACTTGGCAGGAACCTCCTTGTCCTTCAACTTTCCGAGCGATGCTTCAACTGCTAGCCGCATGGCATGATGCTCACTAGGCTGCACAAGTCGCTGCTGAGTCCCCAGCCGCGCTTCAGCTTTGTTTCTCTCCGAAACCTGCAAGTGAAGCCTGGATGCTTCCCAAGCCGCCAATAGGCGTGCCACCACGAGCCGCTCTGCAACCCCCGCTGTAGGATCGATGGGCAACTCCGCAATTAGTGCAGCTCTCACCCGCTCCCGAGACTCATCTAGCCCCGAGAACAATGCCACATTGCGGATCCCCAGTTCTCCCAGCCTAGCCTGCCACACAGCCGGAACATCCGCCTGCTCAAGCTGGAACCTGAGATCCGGCCCCAACGTCTCCAAGTGCCCTCTCTGCGCGGCCGTCAGAGCAGCCGGCGCCGCCATGAGACGCAAGGAAAGCCCTAAAAACCCAAGGCAGGGCAAACTCAATTCAGCAACGCACCCTGGTTGAACCGGCACCGGCGAAACCTTTGTGCTGATTTCCGATCTCACCATGCTGATGCGATCACTCGCGCACGCACCGAAGTTTGCCAGGCCTGACACCTTCCCTCGCGTCGCAGTACACTGTGCATTCAGGAGCCTAGCCGCGCAATCCTGCGAAGCAACTCCGAAGCGCCCTCACAAGCTCAGTGACACGAAGCTCCAGGCCCGATACTCTATCGGCCAGCCCGAAAAAGGCTCGTGAGATCCCCGTGATCTCTCGCCGAAGATCCTCCCTAGGCACCGGGTCGACCGCAATCAGTCGCCGCTCCAGAACTGCCACCCGCTGCTCTAGCTCCCACACATGGTCAGAAAGCAGCAAGAAAGTATCATCTGTGCTTTCCCTCTCGTGAAGCTCAGCAGACGGCTCTGAAGCAGGCTCCGGCTCCATGAGGCCCTCAAGACGCGTGATGAAGAAACTGATCGTTCCTTTCCCAGCTCGAGATCACAATCCTTTGGCGTACACTTGCAAGTGGATGCATGATCCCTTGACGTACACTTGCAAGCAGCAGTAGCACTCTCAACATGAACACGATCGACTCCATGTGTGCACACATTTTGCAGTCCGAGCAATCACGATTCGCTCGAGCTCTCTCCTGAGGTCTGTGCCTCATCGGCGGTGCTGGAGGAAAAGTCCTCCGATCCCGAAGCATTCGCCTGTGCTGCCTGCTGTCCCTGCTCAGGTTTGAAGCAGTGCTTGCGTTGCCAGTCGTAAGAAACGCCCTCCAGCGACTCAAACAACTCACAGTTTGCCACAGACTCGGGCGTGCTGCCGCATCCACCTACACGATGAAGCCGCCGCAGCTTCTTCTTTCCTAGAACAGATACAAAGAACTTGCATGCGTCCTTGACCTCAGGAGTCCTGGCAGGCATCACAAGATCACCAGGCTTGATGCCGTTCCCGCTGCCTTCAGCAAGATGTTGGGCCCGAAACTCGGCCCAGCCCTCCAACGGCCGCAAGAGGTCAAGAGCCCTGTCACGCACCGAGCTCTCGACACCGGCCCTCTGTAGCGCCTGAAACAAATCATCAAGACCTACCTCCAGAAAGGCGGGGTTGTTGCAAAGGCTCTGAACAACATGTCGCTGCAGTGAAGTGACAATGAACCAAGCACTCCGAATGTACTCATCTGAGGCTTCCACGACATGCCACCGCCCCAAGTAGGAACGACGCTCGCGATCGATACCCGACCATGATGCAAGTGTGGCAATGAAGTTTCTCTCGGAATGTTCGGTAAAAGCAGCAACAACACTCGGATCCTCGAAGAGCGCAACATCAGTATGACGCACACTCCCAGCCTCGGTCAACTCGGGCCGCTTTAGCTCCCACAGGAGCTGCTTGGACATCGTTGACATATCCACATAGCTCGCCATAACTGGCAGGCAGGAGGTCAGCCCCTTTGTAGGCCGAGGCACCAGATAATCCCTGGAGAAGGCAAAACCATCAGAAGCCCAGATCTCATATCCGGCAGCCAGCCAATCGCTATGCAAAAGCCAAGCATCCTTGCAAACAAAGAACGGCAGCCATCTGATGCGTTTGTCAGCTCCCGAGGTTTTCGTTCTATCGAAAACTCCTCGTAGTCCTTGTGAAGACATCGTCATCTGCTCTGGTAGAATGCCCTGAAGGTCATTGGCCCTGCTAGATGTCCATAGTTTCAATAGCCGTGCCCACGCATACGCTCTGACGAACTTCTTACGCGCAGGATTCACAACCACAGCCTCTAAAGACATGACCATGATGAGGGCCAATGCTGGAGCTTGCTTTGTCGGCGGCGCCCCCGCTTCAAGCTCAGCAGTGCGAACCCGAACCAAGTTCCGCACCAGGACATGAGAAGAGATGGAAGCCTCGGCCTTGACTCCTCCGACCCTCTCGAAGAATATCACTGCAGAGAGCACAGACTGTAGCCTGGTCCTGGCACAAGGTTCCTGCGCCAGCTCTTCCACATAATTCATCAAGATGCCCAGATGCGTGGGGAACACTGTCCCCTCAACAGCGAAAAACCATGCCGAAAACTTGGACCATTCCCTCACGTGCCGCCTTAGAGTGGACGCTCTAAGCGTTCCTGCTGACGCCTCCAGTACAGCTTGGCTATCAAGGGCGTAACTTGCCATTGAGCACACCGGCATACCAGCCCTTTTCAGCTCCTTCGCTAAAGCCTGCCTCCAGCGTCGGAGCTCTGTAGCCTCAGCATCGGCCCTCGCACGATCGTGCTTGGCCAAGGCAAGTTTCTTGGCCAACCGACACGGCCACGCTGTAAGTGACCGCTTTGCACCGGCCCTTGTCTGAAGCCATCCAGTGCTTACTTCAAGCTGCTGCTGAGGCCCGGCCGAAAACGATGAGGACGTTTGCGCCAGCTGACCTTGCACAGCTCTAGTCCTCACGACACGATCTGCAGCCGGTGATACATCAGCGCAAACCTTTTCAAGAATCTCGCATGCACTGAACCATTCAGCTGAGCCCATTGTAAGTCCCAGTGATTCCACAAAATCTTTGATGTCTGAATCATCTGAAAACAAATTCGACAAAATCTCGGGAGAAGGCTGTCGCGACTCCTGATCAAGAGCCTTCTTGACACACTCAGGTAAGTCTTGCCACGACAGACTGGAGCCAGCCTCTTCCTGAGGCTCCTCGTCACCCATCGCGCATGACGATCACTCCGACCCATACACAAATGAGTCCCCCCCTCCCCTTTTGGACTCCGCAGAGCCGAGCCCAAAGGTTCGGACGAATGTTGATTGTCATCTGTTCCTCCAGCAGGAGGGAACCACAACCGCACATGAAAAATTCATGTAAAACAAAACACTGTGTGACATGAAAATCAATCCATAAAAGAGTCGAAACTCGACTCAACAAATGGAAAGCATTTTCGATATTGGCACATGAAAATGTGAGCAAGCTATGTTTCTTAATCTCATTCTGATGGACAAGTCCACCTCACCTGAAGCAAGTCAAGAATGTCAGCATCAGAAGTGGATGTATGGCCAGCCGATGGCATAGGTGAGGGTGCATGTATTGCAAGCCCGGAAAGCTGCCCCTCCACAAGTTTCGGGCTGTTTCAGGACTTGTGCATGTAAGCGGGATGATCCTTCCCGCAAGGCTTGCCGCCAACATCAACAGCACAACCATGTACAAATGCACAGTCAGCCAGCTTGCAACCCGAGCGAAGGTTCCATCGCTTGCACATCTGCTTCTGAACACCGTTCTCATAAAATGAAACCATCCACTTGGGGCCATTCTGGTCGCGGGTGTCTTTGGACTTGCCAGTCTTGCCTTTGCCTTTGCCGCCTTTGCCCTTGCCCGGGGACTTGTCCAAATGTAGTGAGTTGCCCGAACCAATGCTGGGGCGTTTGGTTTTCTGACTGAAAACACGAGGTTGCAAGTGGCTCTGCAAAATGCAACGGACCTGGACGATCTCATGTAATGCATCATCAATGCACCAACCTTTATTCACCAATTCGCAAATGCATTTCCAAGCTTCTTTATCCGCCGCCTGCATTTCCGTGACGTTAGGGCTTCGCAGCCCTGACTCCGGCGGCGGACGATGGAATGCAAGCTTTATAAAAAGCTTGTTGTATGCACGAAAGGAACTGAGGTGCGCGACTTCTAACAAGCAAAATGCAAAGGCGATCAGGTCTAACAAATGCGAAAGGAACATTTGCGACACACCAGTATCGGCGATGTCCCTGCAAGGGACGTCGTCAAAAATGAAGTCGTCGAGACGTGCGATCTTTTTCGGTCTGGATGAAGTGACGTCTTCCTGTTTCTCTTCGCTGAGTCGGAACTTCCATGGAATGTAAGAGTAGTGTTTGTCCTGCACTTGCTTGTTGCAGGATGCAAGTAGCCGTGACGAGGGCATACTGGATGCATCGAGAATTTCCGAAGGGTATGAAGCTTCGAATGTAGCTTTCATGGTACTCACTCGTTCAATGCTCAACTTCGCAGGAAAAGGCTCAGTCCAAGACGATGCAGAAGGCACCGCGCTCCCAGAAGCAACCGATGCAGTGCCGGCCGCAGGGGAAGTCGATATCACTGAAGAAATGCATCGATGATACGAAGCCTTGAGACATGCCAAATTGACAGTGTTCAGCATGGCCTGTCCCGGTGCATCAAGCACATCTTTGATGGAGTCCTGCAAGTTTTCGACTCCTTCGCAAATGCAAGGAAATGAGTGAATCGTCAGCTGTGACGAAAGTTGGCTTGCAATAAGATCCGGGACTTTTTCTTCCCTGAGGATCTGGGCCAGAGTGAGGGCCGACATGAGCCCGAGAATGTCGCGACCTGGCGGGGTGCAAAGCAAAGAGTGCACCCGAAGCAGAAGCCTCAGGCCTGTAAAAGATGGTGTCAAATGCACCGGTCGCCAAAATGCGGATGGCTGCAAAATCTAGCCTCTTACCAGAGGTGTGACATGACAGATGTAGCCTGGAAGTGTGATGCATAGTGACAGTGACTGCAAATGTTGCATGTTGGCAATCGCTGAGCCAAGAAAAGATCAACACAGAGAGGTCGATCAAGCGAACCACATGGGTCTAAGTCGCAGCAGTCGCAAGCCGAACAATGCAAGAGAAGGGGAAAAGCCCGGCTATTTTCACTCCCTCGCCGGGAGGTGCAGTATTGGCGCCGAGTGGCAGCCGAAAGCTAGAGAAATGTAGGGACAAAGTCCGAGGGTGGGGCCGGCAATGGAAAACAAGCGCAGCCCCGATCAAAATGTAAAAAGGCAGGCTAGGCCATAAAGAGGCTAGTACCCGCTGCGCTTCCACCAGGACCAAGAGTCCCCGTTCCATGCCTCATCGCCCCATTCACTCCACTCCGTATCCCAGGATGCATCCGACGACTTCTGCTCCTTGGAATGGACCTTATTGCGGTAACATGCCTTACAGGCATGACGAGTGGAGGATGTAATGAAGTGACTGTCATTGGGGATCTCGCTGCTATACCCGCACAAGGCCATGCAGCCGCTCGTATCACAAACGGCCCTGCAGCACACGACCTGGCGTGTGGCCACTGGGCACTTTGCATCCGCCGCCACATTGTCGTCGAGGAATGTAGGATCGTGGATCGGCTTTATCGGCGGTGCCTCAGCTTTTTGTGCAGCAGGAGATGTACACGGGGCTGGCGGAGGCGATGGAACTTTATCCGCAGGAGGTCCATCGTCAACTGATGTAGTGGTGCCCTTTGGGGCTGATGGATCGGACCCCTTTGGCTCATCAGCATTCAATGTACTCTTGCCCTGGGCATCTTCCTGAATGGAAGTCTTGTCCTCTTTCTGCTCAGGAGGGGCAGATGTACTCGAAGATGCAGAAGAAACCTGGAAACTCATGGCAGCGACCATCAGCAACTTTCGCTGCCCTGCAGCCGGTCCTCCTCTGATGCAGCTGACCACTTGGTGAACATCCGAATTGTAAATGTAACTCAGAGCGTCCCTGATCTGCTGAGTTGGGCGGATATTCTCCATGATGTAAAAGGAGCGGAATGCGAAAATCAGAGCAAACCTAACAGCCATGTAAAAGTGAACCTGCTAAAGGAATGTGCATAGGTTTGTGTGGCAGTGACATGTCATGCCTGGCACAAAGTGCAAGTAGAGCATGTGAAAAGCATTCACACGGTTCAGCTGCTGAGCACTCCGCTGCCAGAGTAAAAAGAATGCAATCGCCCGCACTCAGAAGCAAAAGGCACAGACTGAACTGGCATGATCCCAGTCGCGAGGCACACTGAATGCAGTGTTTTCGCCAGAACCCAGGCAGCTTACGACAGATTCGTGAGAATGGAAATGCAAGGCTTTGACTTGCAAAATCGCGAGCCCGCAGGTGGGTGCGAAACCAAATGGAAGGTTCCCCGGCAGCCGCAAGCCGGTTTGCCTTCAATGCAAGCATGTATGATGGAGCTGGTGGTTGCACTAAGGAATGCAATCTCCTCAGCCTCGCCCAGCTCGCCCTCCGAGCTGCTCGTTTCCGCTTCTTCCGGAACCTTTTCAGGCAAAGCAGAAGGAACAACATCCTTGACCGGTGCAGCTGATGCGGACGAAGCTGAGGGTACATCAGGCGAGGGCACCGAAGTCGGCGGAAAAGTATCCAACCTGAAGAAGACTGGCAATGCAGCAGACAACACGGCCCCTAGATCCGGAGGCCACTGCAATGCAGGTTCGAGAGGCATAAAGGTGACTCCACGCATTAACGGAGTTCGCGATTGCCAGCCTCCTCTCACTCTCTCAATGAAACTGTCCTGAGCGAGAAGTAATGGAGAGACGTCGTCTCGCCCATATAAAACACAAGAAGCAGAATGCTTGTGGTGGCCCTGAAGGTGCCTCGATTCAAGCGACATATTCAGTTGCCTGAAGAAAGAAAGCAATGTAACTTTCATGGAATGTAACGTATACTGGAGTTCTTGACCCGATGGAAGCTGGTTCCACATGACCAGCAATCGTCTGAGCCTCGAAAGACACTCTGCGTAAGTCAATGGTCTGATGCACTCCTTGTCCAGAAGGAAGAAAATGTAGTCCGGTATGTCTGAAGGATCGGAATGTAAATCCATAAGTTTCTCAAGAGCCACTAGCCAATGCAACAGCCAGCATTGTGTGCGTGGCAGCCTCAAAAGGCCTGAGAAAAGGCAGCCAAAGGCCATAAATTTTTGGGTTTTCGTTCGATAAGATGCACCTCTAAAGCTATCGAAGTCAATGTAGAGATCTGACAACTGAATGTGCTGAGAGTCGCCAAACCTCAAGCTGCACCAGATGCAAACTACCACTGATCCCGCGAAAGCAGTCTCTTCCAATGTAAAGTGGCCACACACGATTTGGACCTCCAGCCACAATATAAAGGATCATGGAAGAGGTAGAGCCTCTTTAGATGCACCTTGCGACTGCCAGGACCTGGCATGAAATAAGCCATCATATAATGAAGGAAAGCCAGTGGGCTGCACTGTAGAAGAAAACCATCGTACCGCCTTGAGCACATTAATGGAATGTAGCGACGAGTGATGGCTGCGAGATCTCTGTAATGTATGAATTGAGTCAATAAGCTGAACCTGAGACAGGGATGTAAGGTCAAAACCCAGGTCTCGAACCGTATGCAGCAATTGCCACATAATTGCAATGTATCTCAGCGCCGTAGTGTCTGATACTCGCCGGAGCAATTGCTCCAAAAGGGAATGCTTGTTAGAGCTGTTGAAAATGTCAAAAAGCAATGCAGAACATGACAATGCAAACTCGCATAGCTCAGACCATAACTGAAGGGCCCGGGACCACTGAGTGGAATGGACCTCGGACTGCTTGACCACCTTGGAGCTTCCCTTGGTGGCTCCTGAATGAAGGAGATCAATGCCTCTCTTAGCACAAGGACCTTTGGTCAACAATGGTCCAGACAGCAGCTCTGGGGCCCCACCAGAATGGAGTGAGGACCCTGTACCCTGAGATGGAGGCGAACTCTTCGAGATAGCCCCCGATGCCTGAGCAGAAGAATGCAATTTTTCAGACGGATAGGATGCATATGCTCCGCGAGCCGAAGGGACCGGCCGAGGTCTGGGCGCCGCCCTGGCAACACCAACCGATGCCCTAAGTGGAAAAGAAGGCCTGGATCTGGCATGCTCATTAGATCTTGTGGCAATTGAATGCAAGCTTGTAGCCCGATTGCTGCTCTCTTTGACA